TTGGTGGAGTGTTGTATTGTGGGCGTTAATTGGTGGAGTGTTGTATTAACCAATTAAATAAATAATCATTTAATGCATCTACTTTCCCTTCCAGTCATAAAAGGATAAAAAATTAACACAGGTGGTTATGTGGAGTTTTTCTCTCTTGACACATAAGTAGATTCATAATATTATAAACAGGGAAACCACAACTGTATTTTTCAATAACAGAAGTCTATCAAGCTACTTTCTGTTTAATTCTATATTTGCATGTATTCTAAATGTAAGTGGAACAAAATTAAATTAGAATAACTTTCTGAAAGTTACAAGTACAGCAATTATATTGCTGCTTATGTGTGTATTTAATCTTACCTCAATATGTTGAAGAGAAGGACCAAGTGAAACTGATGCTTTTCCCATGGTGCAGTAGCTTATATTTCTATCAAAGAAAAACAAAACAAACTTTCTTTGACTTTTTTAAAATATTTAATATCATACTTTTGACCATTTCGATTCTTTTTTAGAATGATTGTTACATTTTTTACTAGTATTCATCCAGGTTTGAAAATGCCATATTATTTTCTGTCAAAATATCAATCAATAAAATCAGTTTAACTCCTTAAACCCAAGTGGACACTGACGGCATTCGGCCAAACATCCCAATTTACTCATTAGACAGTGATAGTATTTGATAACATTTATATCTCTGGCTGAAACCTAATCCAAACCATGTTATTATCCACCTTTTATAAATGGACTTGAAATTTTATAAGGTATGGTGATAATTATTAGGACATCATGAAAACAATTCTGGCAGTACATGCTAAAAATTATAAGTTTAAAAGAGTTAAATATATACTTCTAGTATAAACTTGACATTGTTTCATATTTAGGCAGCTTCCTAAATAAAGCTCAATCTTAAGATTAAATTCTCAGCTTTTTTCTTTAACTAGTCTATGAGTTGTTTTATCCACCAACTTCTTAAACTTTCAATCAAGTATTTTTTAAATTATGTACAATGTTCAAGACAATTAAAAGATAATCAGAATTTGAAATACTATATCTATGATGATGCAAAATTTCTGTTGGAAAATAATGCTGAATATCAGGCATCTGATTATCAGTCAAGAACTGAAATGTAAATTATTGATCACTGAGTTTATGCTACATAGAAATATTTCATAAAAGTCTTGTCTGACTCATCTCATTCAGTTGGATTTCAAAGTACTCCAAACTGCTCATGAGCTATGGCTAGGCCCCAGAGAAGACATCTGAATATTTTATTCGTGAGAAAGCCATCAGATAAACAAAAGTTATCCAATCAGAGAAAGCTGTTGTGAATATACTCCAGGTGTCTCAAAGTGTCATTAGCAGAAATAGAACTGCTTCAAAGACAATGATAAGGTTGTTCAGACCCTCTCTGGGGCAAGGAAGACAGTTAATTATGACACAAGCAGATTACTACTTTCTATGAATTTGGCTCATTAC